CTTTCAAAATTTCCATTTCTTTGGTCCTGGAAGATTATTTCTATATGTTTATTAAGGATCTTTTTTCTGTTTTGTCATGTATGTTGGTTTGGTTGTCTTTTGATCAGCTTCTATATCATTTGTCTTTAGGACAAGCTTAGCTTGTCTAATCTCAAATTCCATGGTAGATGGGTCCAAGAATGTGGCTATTCTTAGTTGTACAATCCAAATTCTCTATCATAGCAGCGGTACAGGGAGGAGGATGTATGCAAAAAGTTACTACTGCAACTAATATTAACTTTTTGAACTTGTCCTGTTGTCCGTTTATATTGATAGTCATCTGTACTTTCTTGTCTTTTACTATCTATCGTTGATTTCTTTTAGTATCGTTTGGTGGGATGTATTAGAGAAAAAAATATTAGTTTTGCTATTATCTTAGGTAGGTATGATTAATACATATTAAATCATGATATTACCAATATAAGAGTTTTTGATACCAAGTATAAGTATATAATTGCTCTTCAGAGTGTATAAAGTTAAAGAATGTGGAGAATATTTTCATAAACAAATAATTATTTTAGTAATTATGCAATACATATTTTTTAATACACCAAATTAAATAGTAGATAATAAAATAATATTTTGTTTAATTAATCTCCGCATTACTAATTTCAGTAATATTTACATTATATTTAATATTATTCTCATGTACTATACCAAATTATCACGAAGTTGTGTAGTAGAGTGAGAATGACATTACAAATTAAACAAGAGATAATAAGTCATTGAATTAATCGAGATGTACGTAGAGTGATCAAACACTAACCCGAATTTAAAAAAAATTAAGTAAACTTGATGAAATCAATATTTCAGACTTTTTTACCATTTGAATTTATTGCATTTTTGAGATCAAACAACACATTTGTCAGTGGTTTCTCAAGTCATTTTTAAAAATATTTTACTCTTTTTTTTAATACAAATATAAAATTCGTGTGAGAGCTATTGGTTTCCAATTAGGTAATTCTAATAAGATCTTCCAAGAGTCGTCTTCATATTTCTTTTATAAATAAATATTTCTGATTGCAAATTTTTAAATACGCATTGTTTATAAAGATCAACTAATCAATAAGTAGTAATAATTAATCTTTAATATGATTTTTTCACATAAACAAATAATTTTTTGATGCTGAACATGAGTATTTTTTCACAAAATTAAAATAATGAATCTATTTGTACAAACTATAAACTTATGGGGGGATTTTACATTTAAAAAAATAAATTAAAATCAAAATTTAGAATCCCAAATTCATTTTTTTAAAATTTAAAATTATGATCCCAAATTGCATATTCAAACGCTTATTTAATAGGGAAAATTGTATATAATAGCAAACTATTAATTCAAATTAAATGCTATAAATATAGTTTGATTTAATTGTACCTCATAGCAAAATGTTGCTATTTCACCTCTCTCCTGGTGAATCTCGCTCGCCACTCTCGTTCTCTCCCTCGCCTCTCTCGTTTTTTATACAAACGCAAGTGTATAAAGTGCATTTGTGTTTGTATAAAGCGAGAGAAAATTGTATATATACATATATTTTCGTTCCCCTCTCCCAGATCTCGCTCTCTCACTCGCCTCTCTCACTTTATACAAAAACGCTAATGTATAAAATGCGTGAAAATTGTATATATACATATATTTTCGTTCCCCTCTCCCAGATCTCGCTCTCTCACTCGCCTCTCTCACTTTATACAATTGATCTTTTTGTATATGTATACCAAAGCAGATTATACAACTGCTTTCTTTTGTATATGTATAGCGAAATATACATATTTATGTTTGCTATGAA